TACTAAGTTCTATAGGACAACACTAAGAAAGGTAGAAAGTGAGCTGCCGAAAGGATATAAACACAATTAGAGAATTTCCAGGTTCATGATTATCAAAGCACTGCTTGAAAAATTCAAGTACGATAGAAAAGTTTGACAAAATGATAGTCACAGTCTCGATTTGGGTACATCTTTAGATCAAATTCCATGCTGAATTCAATTCTCACTAGTTGAGGAAGGTACAGCAATTCACCTCTCCATTCTCTACCCGAATGTAATCCATCATCTACTGCATGTTCCCTCTGAAATTACTTTTTACCCAGGACCAGTTTCTCTCCTCTCTCCAACAGGCTCCTTTGGAGCAAGCAGCAAGGACAGTGGCTTAGTTGTGGGACATGAATTCAAATCTCAACTCTGCCACTTATTAGTTGTACAATCTTAGGACAAGTTACTTAACTAACCTCTCTCACTCCCATCTGTAAAATGTGCCTTGTAACTACTCTGTAGAGTTGCCATGAGGATCAAATTAGATAATGCATATAAATTCAACTAGTGTACTTCCTATAACCATAGTAGGCATTTAATTAATATTGGTTCCTCTTTTCCCCCCTGCTCCTTGCTACTTACTCCAAGTATGATCAAATTTAACATTCATGGTTTTAATTACTCTCAAGCAAGCTCAATGGTATATAGGACATGTAGTAATTTTCATTTTGTTAAGTAAGATTTTGAATGGTGCATGCCACAAGGGAAATAGTATGCAGTTGTGCTCAAAACCATGAATTTCAGGCGAGTAAGATGATCTTAATTTTGATTTCTACTTCCAACCTTGACCACCTGTGAGACCTAGGGCAAGTTACTTTACCTCTCTGAGCCTGGTTCCTCATTTATTATATATATAATGTTTACAAGTGCCTGGAGAAGAGTGCTACTTTTAAGACTAATAAAGTGAGCTCAGCCAACTATTCGGTCACACCAAGACATTGTTATTGTTCTCTATTCTCCTGGAATTATGTTTTACTACATTTTCTAGAGGAAATTACATCAACTTCAGCATTCTTGACATTTCAGGCTGGATAATTCGTTGTAATGAGGCACTGCCCTGTGCCTTGCAGGATGTTTAAGCAACATCCCTGGCCTTTACTGAGTAGATGCCAGTAGGGTATATTTGGCAAAAATGTCTCCTGGACATTGTTGAATGACTCCCAGGAGGCCAAATTGCCTTGGTTAAAAACCACTGGTCTAGCACTATCCACAAACATAGGAATTCTCCAAGATCTCAGGAGGCAGCCCTGCAAAAGGTCAAAGATTTACTGGAGCTACTATTTAGTACTACCCACTCTTCTGGGCTCCATCACCTGTTATTATCTATAATTCAAAGTTGACCACAGAAAAATAATTTGCAGGGCCCAATTTGCTGTCAGAGATACTTTAAGTCACAGGAAAGGACCCTGGACATCCACTCTTCCCTACTCCATCCAGTGATACAAAGCTGAACTTAGACATCAGGAAATCTGCTATGTCCCCTTTACTTGACTTAAACTTTACCTTTTCTAAAAAAGAAAAAGCCACAGACCTTAGGTTCTATAATGACTTATAAACCATATGATTGCCCAAAATGAAAAAAAAAGTATGTCGTAGTTGGGAAGATGATGTAGATTTTATGCAGTGAATAAAGAAATGACTCCAGTGTTTGTATGGCTGAAGCATGTTTACCATATATAAAGTGAATATATTAATGTTCAAAAGACTCCAAACAACTTTTGATTATTCACAACAGATTGTCTATTTTTCATTTTAATAATGCACCAGAAAGGCAGAAGCCATTTCTTACCCACCATGTATTCCCACATCTAACACAGAGCCTCCAACAGAGGCGGTAACTCAGTAAATGTTTGTTGAATAAACGAATGGTCATATATTTTGCTTAATTAAGTACTTCGTTGACAAAAAGAACCTTTCTTTGCTCTTGCCCAACAGAAGCTAAAAGGAAAGATCTTTTTTAAGAGAAAATAATTAGTCTACTCCCTTTTACTCCAAATCCAAGCAACTGGCTAGTTCAGTTAACCAAAAAAAAAAAAAAAAAAAAATTTTGTAGGCAAAAGTTGGAGAAGGCAGCCAAATAGAGAAAGCCTAAAGTTCAAGCAAGCAGGAACATTTGTTCAACTCCCACAAGGTTATAAAAGCCAATGTTGCTAGCACTAAAGGGGGAGAAAAGGGAGGGGTGTGGGGAAGAAGGGAACCAGGAGGTGGAAAGTAGGCAAACAGGGTTCAGTCTCAGGAGATTAGCTTCTACTCCTTCAACAAAATTTTTTTTTAATGTCCAAACTTTAGAGGTGAGGGTCAATTTCTTACACAAAGGCTTGATTTACAAATTACTTCCCAAATGGATATTAGCAAGATCTTTAAGAATATTTAGAAAGAGAATTCGATCATAATATTCTTAATTTCTGAAATGTTTTCATCTTTTTTACTCCAGTCTCAACAGGTTTTCAAAAACCCAGGTAAAAATTACTCCATTTACTCCTTTTGTCTAGATAGAAACTTAAGGCCTACTTCTCATTAACATGTTTCTCTCCGTAAAAGATTTTTACCACTTTCAGCATTCTATTCCTGAGAGAAGAAAAAAATCAGGTTTAAGTTGTGTTGTAGAAATATTCTATTTTTTAGATTGTTACCTAGATACAGAATGCAAATCATATTAACATCAGATAGGCACACTTGTAGCTCTGACTTGGACAGTCCAAAGGCAATTTATGTGACCAAAGCATTTGTACCCCCATCATATTCTGAAATTTTAAAAAAAAGAAATGGCACATACAGTAGTGTAAATAAATGCCTTTTTGTCAATCTTTGAGACCAAAAATCTAGTTCCACTTAAACATTTCCAGTAAGCAAATTAAGTAATTGTCTTATTTAAGTGGCCCATTAGTTTAATATATGTTAAATTAGCTCCAATGCAGTGGTATTTATTATACAAGAGGAATTTTACCAATTTAAATCTTACACAATTTTTTAAAATTTCACTCAAAAATCTAGTCTTGGTTGAAAGATTAGTTTCCTTCTCCAAAAATTAAATACGGCAATGGGTAGCCTAGAATTTCAAAAACCATATATGGTTACAGAATCTATATGGTAGTCTTAGACTATGTCTTTATTGTGAGGTGGTTTGCACAAATCATGGCCTCACTATCTGACCAATTTCCTGTTGCATAAAGACTATTATTTTCCCTTAAAAATGTTAAATAAGCATTTTTAAAGACTGAAGGTAAAGACTAGATTGGAACCTTATGTAACCAAAATGGGAAAGCACTATAGCCTCACCACATTAAAGGCCAATGCCTTTTTAATATGTATTCTTCTTAAGCAAATACGAACATGAGTTTCCAAAGGCACAGCTACCATCCCAGAAGCCCTTGCTTCTTCAGTGTGAGGAATGGGGAGGGCCCATTCCTGGAGATGAGCTGGGGTGGCAAAGGCTTTACAAAATTCCAAGGGGCCCATCATTTAAATTTTTGCTATTCTGCAAATGTTCACATTTCCAAGGAACAACATAACATTTGCATTAAAACCGTCTTAATCAAGATGACTGAAAAAAATTATTCCTGCTGTTCTATAAGCTTGCCATAGATTTGATAACCCAGAGAAGAATTACAAGCAATTTCCAAATGATGGCTCCAATTAGGAAAACTGGATCTATTCCAAATTCAAATCAAAGGGGGCTCAGATAATCCCGATGGAATAATTTAAATGAATACAGGGGACTTCCAGCAAAGACATACGTTTATTCTACGATTTCTACTCTCCTGAAAGCCAAGCAAAATGCTACAAGGATATATCTCTTGCCCTTCAGGAAATTCAAAAACCAAACCTGGAATTCCATTAATAAACCTTGTTTTCTTCTTTTCCCGAGGGGTCTCCCTAATACAGAGTTTTTATTGTAAAGGGCAATCGAAACAAACCTAAGAAACTCACACAGTCCCAAATGCAGAAAATAGTAAAGCACTGAACACGAACCACATAACACTCTTTCCTTTAGCCTTGCTGATTTTCAAACCTTCACCTAGTCCTAGACGACTAAGAGGCCGAAAGGAATGGAAGAGAAAGAGAAACTTCGAAAGCAGAAACCTCTCTCCCAGAACCTAGAACAGACGGCACCTTGTAGGGATTTCACGCTTTTAGAGACGGAAAGGTCACACCTTGCAGTTTTGAAAACCCACCTTTTAAGGTTCAAGCCTCGTGATAAAACCTTCCTCTAGCTTCTCTAGGTTCCACGCTGGAGCCGAAATCCCCCTCTCCCCACCCCCATTCGACAAACCTCCGCCTTCCCCTCGGAGAAAGAGCCACAGCGTGCCCTCGCCCTCCCTCCTCATTCTCTGCACCCCACCCCCACCCCGCAACATCCCCGTCGAGAAAACCGAGGCGAGCCCCCTCACCTCTACTCCTCATCCCCACCCCGCCATCCTCGATGAGGGAATCAAGGCAGGTCTCCCACCTTTTTCCCCACTCCCCAATCTCCGCCATCCTTGGTGGGAAAACCCAGGGAGCCCCCCACTTTACCATCACTCGCTCCCACAGCCCCCTCCAGCCATCCTAGCTGAGAAAAACGAAGAGGTGCCCCCACTTCGCCCCACCCCCCACTGCCCGCCATCCCTGGTGAGAAAACCAAGGGCCCCGTTCACTCCCTCCCCACTCCCCCCCACTCCCCATCATCCCCGCAGAGGAAAGCACGGGCGCCCCCAATTCACTCCCACTCCCCCCACTCCCTCTCCATCCCCACCGTGGCCAAAGCCCCGGGGAGGCCGAGGCGCGCACCAGAGAGGACCTCACGCTCCCTCGCCCCGCATCCCGCAGCCCGGGGCGCCCCCGGCCCTGGAAGGCCGGCAGCCGGAACCGCAGGGGCTAGCCCGGAGCGGCGGCGGCGGCGGCGGCGGGGCAGGAGGGCAGCCGCTCCCCCGGGACGCGGGCTGGGCGGGCGGGAGGCACACACGCACGCACACGCGGAGAGAAAGCGGGCTTACTGCCTGGGGATGCTCGCTCGCGCAGCTGTCTCGGCGGCGGCGGCCGCTGCCTGCACCGAGGCCGAAGCGCGGCGGCGGCGGCTGCGGACTGAGCCCCCTGCGCTGGGCGGTGGATGTAGGGCGCGGGAGGGGCGCGAGGGGAGGGGCGCGCGCGGGGGAGGCGTGGAGGGAGGGGAGGCGAGGGAGCGCGCGCGGGGGCGGGAGCGGGCGCGGCTG